AGAGAGCGCCTTCTCCCTGGCAACTAGCAGAGGGGCCATAAAAAACTGAGAGGGCTCCGAAGCCGCTTAACAGAGCTCGAGAGCCGCTGGCCCCGGAGGGGAGAGCCGCGCCCTCCCCTGGGCTCCCTGCAGAACAGCAGGGCAAAGGGCTCCGTCCCGGCTCCCAAGCTGCAGGCGCGGAGGCGCGCGGGACAGGTGTAGACGGCCCGAGATCGGGACCGGGACAGGGACAGGGACCGGGACCCCAAAGCTGACCCTTGATGGGGGGCTCGCTCCACCGCGCGGGAAGAAGAGGACGGGCAGGGAGCTGGCTGCCTGCAAAGCGCTGAGGGCAGAGGGGGCGAGGGGGCTGCGGGAGCCACGGAGGCAGAGGTGGGAAGCAGGGGACTGCTCGGCAGAGCGGCTCGGTGTGCGAGCCCCGCGCGGGCTGCTCCGGGAGCAAGGGAGCTCCCTGTTACGGGAGGCATCCGAGCAGGGAGAGGCAGGCCGGTACTTGGCCGGGAGGCTGCAGCGCGGCTCCCTGCCCGGGCTGGCAGCCCGCACGTCTAGGCCTCTGCGCGGCTCCTCCGGAGCTAAGTCCCCGCGCGCGCGGGGCGGCTGCCGAGGAGGCGGCTGGGGTCAGAGCAAGGATGCGCACTTTCCCCTGCACCTTGCCCTGAGCTGAAGGGCAAAGGCGCTGCCGCTGGCTGGTGGAGCGAGAGGGAGAGGAGCGGAGAATGGGGGTGAGTGCTCGGGGCCAGCGGGGGGCGCGGGGGGCTGTCCTGCAGCCAACTCCCCATCTCAAGGGCCAGGCTACCTAGAGAGGCCAAGCGCCCACCCTGGCTCCCAGGCTCAGAAAGGCTGGCCTGGGTCCTCTCAGGGGCAACAGGCTGGTGCAGAGGGTGGGGGGCAGCCTTCCCGGGGGAGCAGGTAGTAGGAGGGGGGATCCACTGAGCTGAGGGGCTGGCCGGTCATGGGAAAAGTAGGGCCCCTTCCTCAAGCATGGGCCACAGCCACCAATTCGGCCGGCTGCTGGACCGTGACTTGGATGCTCTGGGGACTCCTGAAAGCCCCTCACCCAGGACACGGCCGAGGGGCCTGCATGGTGATGAATGAGTCCAACCCTGGAGTCTGGGGCTGGCTCTCCAGGTCCATTCATGGGGACTCAGTTCCCAGGAACTCCGGGTGGATGGGGCCTTTATCAGGGGACCCCCGCTAGACGCGGCTCTGTTCTGAGGTTTCTAAAGGAGTTTTCTTGTCTTTGTTCCCAGTGCAGGCACTCGGCGTGCGTGCGTGTGTGTGTGTGTGTGTGTGTGTGTGTTTGTGTAACAGGCTGGCAGAGGGGCCAATCCCAGTTCCTTGTCCCTGAAATGACCAGGCTGCCTGCCCCAGCTCACCCTCGGGGGCAGAGATGCACCTCTGAGGGGTAGAGAGATGTGGGGAGGTTGGGGACACCAGGGACGCAGGGACATAGCACCTTGACACTGCTGTCTAATGGTCCCAATCCTGACAAGCCGACCTGCCAGGGCCCCTTCAATCCGGGGCCCCACAGCTGCTCGGAGCCGCCGAGGGGAGGCAGCATGGTGTTGCAGGTGGAGAGCGCAGAGCCAGAGCGCAGGCTGGCCCCCCGCAGGCAGGCCGACCGGCGCCGTGGCCGGCGTGGGTGCTCCCCAGGCCGTTTCTTTCTGAGTCCTGTTTGTTGTTTCTCGTCTCATTGCTGTTGTTTTTTAATCTAGTAAATAACTGACATTTTGAAAATGTTGGTAACGTGGTATTTACACGTGTGTTACAGCCACTGCGGCATTACATGGGGGG